TAAATTAAGGGGGAAAGAAAAAGCAGAGGAATGGCTGGTGTAAAGCCCTAATGGAAGTAATAAAGGGTTCTCAATGGAAGTCTGACTCCAGCAGACATCTTCATAGTCTTTTGTGAAAGTTGCTACCTGATTAGCTAAAGCAATAGATCAGATAGTGCTTGAGGTTAGCAAAACATAGAGCTTTATGCATGTGGGCATGCACCATAGTTAAGAGGGGGGTTTTGGTGCTAACATGCTGGGTTTAGTCTGGAACAGGGCCTGGGCTTCTGCTTTGACACCTGGCTGTCGAGTCAAGAGACACCTCTCCCAGCAACGAAGACTGGTCAAACACGATTGGCAAAATGCAGACACTGGCAATCTAATCTCCACACACACAAAATATTCTGAGAAATAATGTTTAGAAGTAAAAACAGAGCTGTAAGGTGGTGTAGAATGCATGGGTTGCTGACAACCGCTCTTGGGCACTGCATGACTATCGAGCCCAGATGGTTTATGTCTCAGACAGGCACAGGCAATGAAGTGTCAATTCAGGGAACCCTTTACTGGCCCTTGAATGTCTCAAAATAAGGTGGAGAGACCAACATTAGGCAGAAAGATGCCTGATGAGGTAAAAGACATTAGCACCTCCCTTCCTAAAAACATACATTTAAAAAGGCATTTTCTCTACATATACCTATATCTATACAGAGAAAGAAGAATGATCTAATTCCCCCCCCCCCAATAAAACTTGCAAAGGATACAAGGGCAACTGTAAAAACCAAAAACTCAAATCTGCTCAGCAGAGTTCTTGGGATCTCATTTCTTTATACCTACCCCAGTAAAACTTGAGCTCATCTTAAAAACTGGAATCTGATGCCCCTTATTCTGCTCAACTATGTATATATAGTACGTGTGTGTGTACACACACACACACATACACACACTACATACATTATGTTCGCCCTTACATAATTCCTTGTAACAAAGGATGATTGTTCTAAGCCAGTGGAGATTCGTGAGGTCCAGCTTTCAGGACGAAGCTGTTTTTCTGTAAGGTTGTACCTGATTGCCAAAGCAAAGTTCTCTTGCTTCTGTATGTTCATTACAAAAAACATCTGACTGTGACCCTAAAAATCCCAGGCAGATGGTCCAACATCGCCAAGTACTGGTCAGTTCTTGGCTGTTCTTAGCTTCCTACGGAAATAATCTGGTGCAGCGTCATACAGCCAGTCTGCATCCACCACACACAGGTCCCGCATGTAGCATTTGTTGGTGTGAAGCAGTTCATTGTAAAGGACACAGGCTGGCTTGCAGTGGAAGAGGACAGAGGATGGGTGGATGGCCACCAGCTGGTGGGTGTCTGCAGTGACATAGGTGCCATCTGGCTGTAGCTCTGCAGCATTCATAAAGAGGCTATGAGCTAGGCAGCGGCGGATGTTCCCTGTATCCGAGCGGGAGGACTCGATGGGCATGGAGAACTGGTCAGGAACAAGAGAGAGAGAGATAACATAGCACCCTACACACAGGCTCCCTACACCAACCTAGAGTTGAGCTGCAATGTAAGCCAGGATGGGCTTCTGCAAGACCAAGGGCTCAAAAGGAACAGGAATGCAAACTCCAACACTGAGGCTATCTTCCCCTGTGGAGATGGGCCAAGCTATAGCCCGGGTATAGTCCCCAGTCCCACTTCCACCTGTACTGAAAAACCTCTAGTTCTAGCTGGCAGTGTGCATTAAGCCTACACCAACATGTGTAGTTGAGGACATATGGTCAGGTTTTCCTTCAGTCCCAGCTGACAAGCTGCCTACCTAGCCATGAGAATGCAAATCAGATCTAGCCCAGGTGCTGTTAGTCCTCCATTACTATCCCACAATTCCAGCTGAGCTGTAATATCTTGTCTATCACCTCCCTTCTACACTGGAATTCAACTATCTTGGCTCAGTGTTGGAAACCCACAGTTGCCTGCTCCATTTCTGCTGCACTCTGGCACTATATGCACAGAGACAAGAAGCTGTGTAGTCAGGCAGGCAAGCTCTAAGCCACTCAGCAGTGCACACTTAATGACAGCCTAATTAAAAGTTCTCAGTGCTCATCTTTTGCTTTCATTTCACAACTGCCCACCCAAACGGAACAATTCCACTTGAAAGTTATCTACATAAAGTACTGTTCTCATATTACTGAGACAGGCCCCACGCTACAAGACAGCAAACTGGCCTGCACACACATCCCACAGATTAGCTCATTAAAGCAAGCTACTTCAGTGGTCTGCTTAGGACCATAGAATATTTCACTAGAAACCCCTCCCAGCACACAGGCTAGATCAGAAACATTCTGGACATAACTACATGGATCTGGCATAGACAAGGATTTCCATTAAGGATGCTCAATCTCATTTAGGCTAGTTCAGGATAACTCTACCTTTAAGACATGCCCACAGATCTGCTGCCCAAGACAATGCTGCCCAAGACAAGACCAAGCTGACTTCTTTATGGGACTGAGTCAGTTCCAAGCTCATCAGCACTTAGACTTGGACCTGAAGTTATGAATGCATTTCCCTCTGCTGGCATCTGGACAGAGAAACCATTTGGGGGCAGAAAAGATACAGAGCCAACAATGGAAGAAAAGTCATACTGCAATGAATTACCTTTACACATATGTCCCTGAGCTGAGCTCTGACATCCGATACTAGCAGCATATTCCGGCCATTCACAAAGTTCTCTTTGCACCACTCCTGCAAGAGAGCAAGCAGGAGATAAAACAATCCACTTCTTCCCCAAGCATTCTAGAGACAGCCTTGGGTAAAGCAGGGTCCCCAACCACTTATCTTTAAAGATCACAATCCTTTCTTCCAAGAGAACAATGCAAGCTTGGTTCCTACCTTTGGCTGCCCCACCCTATCTAAAAATCTCTCCAGCAGTTCCAATCAGATGCATTGCAGTTCATTTCCTATCCTAAACTATTTGGTGGGCTTGCTGTGCGTTGTTGGATAACAGTCATGGTACACCCAGAGGTAAGAAAGGCACTACAGGAGATGGTGTTCTCTTCTACACATTGAGAAATGAGACTGGGGAGTTTGCCAGTTCTGAAAACACTATTTGGATTTACCAGACAAGTCAAATGTATTCAGTGTCTTTGTAACACACTCAAAAATGCTCAAGTGCAATCCCAGGCATTTCATGTTAGTCCGCACTGTGCAACTGGAATGACATCAACAGGACTCCAGTTCCCAGCTCCACTACACACTTGTGACATCCTGGGCAAGTCAGTTATCCTCATCTGTAAAGTGACAATAGTCAGTCCTTCCATATCTCAGAAGTGTCTTGTAAGAGTAAATACTCTACTAATTGCAACAAAGGCTACCCAGCTGTACAGATATACAAGGGGAAAGTCTCAACATCATGTCCCCAAGGAAATCTGTTATTTTGGCATCTCCAGGGGCTTAGGTATCACCTACCTTATTGCCGCTGACATTTTTGAAGGCCCTGTAGACACTGAGCAGGGTAAGATGATCCCCTTCACTGGAGATGAACTTCTTCCTGACAGACTGCACTTCATCCCGCCGGGATGGGGGATTGTAAAGCACACTGTCCACGGACAGCAGGGATATGATGGTCAGGATCTCCTCTGTGCAGTGGTACTTGGGAGACATGAGGATGGTCTGTGAAGCACAGAGAGCTGCTTCAGTGGGTTTCACCAGCTCAAAAGCTACTGGACTTTACCAGCTACCAACACCATAGTAACCCTGGTGGACGCTGTTCAGAAGATGATTACTGCAGGTTAGGCTAAAAGTCAGCTCAGTATGAGCCAGCAGAGAGATGGGAACTCTAGGTTTAGTTTTGAAGGTATAGAAGAAGGTGAGAAAAGACATCTTAGTGTCCATGGCTTATTAATCTTCCTGCCAATGGAACACTGCTCCTCACAGCATTAAAGAGATACCGATAATAACTCTATCATCAAGGCTTATTGTTTAAGCGTTCCTTATCTGAACAAGCTAAGCTTCATTTATTATTGAGACAAAGATATATAGACACACTCATGCTATCAGAACACAAACAACTAATTTTAAGAACATTTCAAAATAGGTTTATTTATGCAGGAACTGGGAAGAGTTGAAAGCAGCCCTTCTGGGAACATGCAACTAACTTCTCTTGTGAAAAAGCAACCACCCTATCAGAGCCCTGGAGGGTGTCCAAGGTTGTACCCATCACTAGGGATGATCACTACAGGCCACCCTAGGATTTTCAGGCCACTGAGCTTCATTTCAGTATGAGAAGCATTAGCTGAATGAACAGGATTATAAAATTTCTCTTGATATGATGTGATAGAGGCAAGATATGACAGAGGCAAACCAGCACAGTGCCTGTAAAAGAAAACCAAGGCTATTCTAATACATACTATGAAGCTCAGGATATGCATCACTGCATCTATGAAGCCCTCACTCTGGGATCTGGGAGTGCAAACAGCAACTCACTGAAGTTAGTCAATAAAGAATGAGGTCAGAAGATGCATCCACTGCTGTTCCTTGCATGTGTACTACTCAGAATGTACCAGGTGACATCACCAGTACAGAACCTGTTGCATCATTGCACCTGACATGGGAATTGGCTGTGAAATCAGAACGGAGCTGTAAGAAACTCAACCCAAATGGAACCTCCTACTTTTGATTCAACAGCAGTTTAAGGAACTCGGAAATAAAAGAGATTAATCACGAATAAAACAACATCCACTTAAAAATAAAGAGCTCACTGCCTGTAGTTTTTACTTTAGAGAACTTGGGTTCCAGAGGAAATGCTGCCATCTTCCTTCCCAGTGGAGTCAGAACAAGCTGATCCTCCTTCCGTTCCACAGCCCCCAGCAGATCCAGTTGCTCAATGGCTGCTTGAACCGCATCTACAAAGACAAAAAAGGTGCAGCGACTTGCCACCATTGTTGGCTAGAAGCAAAAAGGCCTAGAGAGTTTATTTGGTTAGAGGAAAGGACCTTGGGCAGCGGTGTGCTCTGCCTGTTCAGCGATTAGAGTCTCCAGAACCACTCACCCCACACTTTCCACTGATACCACATTCACTATTTCTCTCTTAAACGCTAAAAACAGATGCAAAGCTAGGGCTGACCTCACACTCCTTTAGTAGCAGCTCTGTAAGAACTTCTTCAGACTACCCTTCCTTCTCTAGCGGCCACCCTCCCCATCGCCAACTTCTGACTCACTGTAGCTCAAACCTACTCTTAACTCATGGTGCTCCTCACTCTGTTGGGAAGTTGAATTCCCCAGCTTCCACCATCAGCGTGCCTGCTGTGACAATGCAGACAGCAAGCACTTCTATGAATTTTCAGATGACAGGAAATTTCTATAGGTTCACCTGCCAGCTAAACTGGCTGTGGGAGCATGCAGTAGTACAGCAGTGTTGCACTTCCTTTCCACTCCGTTCTCATCAGCTCCGTCAACACTTCTATTTCCAGACAATGCCTCAATGACCCACTTGCTCATTCCTGCCAACGCTACCCCCCACACATCCCTTTACCTGGAGATGGTTTGGCCATAAAATCAAAAGTAAGCACATTGGGAATTCTAAGAGCCAGGAGCTGCAGCATCACATTGGCCAAGTTACACCTGCCGAAAGAGAGAGGAAAGGACATGAATCAATCACCTGTTTCGGCTGTTGAGGTCACCTAGTCAAACCTGCTCAACTGGCACCCCTGAAATTCTGCCCCTTGAGGGAGAGCAGCCCAAGGGTAACTGTGGAACCCCATCATCCTGAGTTTAGGGAGGCTGTGGGCACAAGACAGACAAAGCCCTCATTTTGGAAATAAGTCGAGGATACTCTTCCAGGTCTGAATAGCTGCAACCTGCTGTAGCTATTTCATCTCTAGTTCATTTCTTCATGAAAAGAAATGCCGGCCCCAATCTGGCCCCAAATACACCAAGAACACCAAGCCGCACTACTCTGCCACTCCCACAACAGACCAGCTAGCTTCTTCAAGCAGCACCTCCAGTCCCAGAGGTGAAGTGAAGTGAGATGCAACAAGGAAGAATAACCACAGCTGCAGCAGAAATCTTTGAGATTCATTTCATCAGGAATGGTGAGGGGTAAAAGGAGGAAAAGGGGCACCACACACAGAGAAGATGATTGAAAGATAATAACTAAGATGAGCCAGGAGGATGGGTCCTCCCCACTGACCCCATCTGAGACCCCGTCATGAGATCTAGGAGGAAACAAAGGGTGCAAATACACTCCTCCAGCCACCCCTAGTAACCTCAACAAACCTCCTAGTATGAACATTCATGCCATGACATGGGACAGGACAACACAAACTGAAAAAGAGTGGAGAGAAAAACCTACAAGACTCGAGAGGCATCCCATTCCTCTCATTTCTGGTACTTTCCTCCTCCCAATAAGGGCTGATGGGACAGCAAATGCCTGAGCTCAAACAGGTACAGGCCCATACACCACAAGACACTGGCAGCTGTGCTAAGCTGCAAGAACAAGGTAAGCACAATGGGTATGCAGTTCCCTTTCCAAGCTTTAAATGGTTTTCCTCAGCCAAAGCTGCTAATGGGTCTCCATATCCACTTGCAAACTCCAGTGGCCTCCTTTCCAGGCCTTCACACACAATCTGGCTGAGGGACAGCACCCAGTGGCAAAAGCAGGGCTTGGGGAGAGAATGCCAACCTCACCTCTGTATCTCGGGTATCGTCATTTTATCAAACTTCTCAAACTCGTCCTCCGTGTACAACCGGTAACAGGTCCCACTGTCCTCTCGTCCTGCTCGCCCCGTCCGCTGCCAGGCCTGGGCTTTTGACACACGCTGAACTGCCAGTATCTCTAGGCCACTTTCTGGACAAGTGAAAGCATGCACATCAGCCACAACCCTCCCACATACAGAAGTGCAGCCAATACAAATTCGCCCAGTGCCTCTCAACTGATGCTGGGCTTGAAGGAAAGGTCTGATAAGAAGACAGCAAGGTTGTGCTGTGCCCATCTGATGTCATTTCATAGTGCTGGAGGACTGCAGAATTCCACACTTAGCTGATGTCTTCCCCTCCCAAATGGATGGCCCACATGCACTCTAACCCAGGGTGCAGTAGTCACGGGAGAAAAGAATGCAACTGACTGGAGGAAATTTGACATGTTAATCAAGCCTACAGCAGAGGATTTGTTTTTAAATTAACTGCTGTCAGTGCCTCAACTAAAACATGTAGCAAATTCAAAGCTATTTCCACATGATGCATCCCACCACAAGCCCTCCCTCACCAGGGTTGTACTTCTTTGCTTTAACCATGCCCGTGTCCAATACAAATTTTATTCCTGTGATGGTGATGGAGGTTTCTGCAATGTTGGTTGACAGGATCACTTTGCGATACCCCTATGATGAAGAGCAAACAAAAGCTAGTCAAAAACCATCTCAAAGCTTAGTTGTCATGCAGGAGTCCCTACCTGTCTTCTTCAGTGTGCAAGATTCACTTCTGTATGTCTTTTAAGCAGGCCTGGTCAAGCTATTGTAGTTAAACTACTATGTTTCACTGTACTAGCTGGTGCAGCCAATAAGCTCTAACTACTGACCAGGTCTCTATAAAGAGCAAGTTTGCAAACGCAAAACAGTCAGTAAAAGCAAACCACAGATGCACCGTACTCACCACAACAAAATAGGGGACCAGAACAGCTGTTTTCGGAGCAGCCTTTAAACTTTGCTTTCGCTGCTACTGGCAGGTACTGGTTTATGATCCCCATAGGCCTGAGCTCCTATTTATCCACAGAAAAGGTACAGCACAGGATGAAGCAGTATAGGTGCTCCTATGTGTAGTGCTGTCAAAGTGTCTTAACTCCAGGGCACATCCAAGTCCCCCTTGGAATTCAATCTGACCCAGACACTGACCAACCATAGTGTTTTTTTACAACATGGACATCAGTCTGCAGGGAACTTTATACAGAAAACCAAGGCTCTGGCCCAGTCTTCTTGCTCCACTCTTCGCATGGATCCAGGACAATTATTTCACTACAGCTGCTAATGTTAAGGCATCAAAGCTAATCCCTACCATCAGACTAAAGCCACTTACCCTAGTGTCACTAGGCAATAGGACTAATGCAAACTGATTTTACCCACCTATTCCAGGTGGCATATGGCCTTTCAAGGGCATTCAAACAAACAAATAATATCTCTGTTACGACCAGTTAATCCAAAATAATAAAGGAAAACTAAGCTCACTGGGTCCAACCTGAACTGGTTTCAGATGACAAACTTTTTAAACCGAGTAATTTTTGATGTCAGTAAGTATATTCTGCAATTACTCATGTCCAAGGCTTCATACCACTTCAGTGCTTCTCAAGGCCTCCCTGTCTCAGTTTCATACTCACAACCTTGGAGCTGTCTTGTTTTGTCACCTAACTTTGCTTCACATAGCACCACTTAACGCTATTTTTGCTTTTGTTCCTTATTTGCATTTCCAGGCTTAATTGTTACTGGGCTTAAATCCTTAGCTTCTCGAACACTGCTACCCTATAAAACAACTAATCACCTTTCTTTTCAAGCCCCTTGGATAACAGCATGCTGGTTACCTGCCCTGGTGGCCTGGCTCACCTTGGGTGCAGCCTGAAAGACCCGGAGTTGCTGTGAGTAGGGCAGTGAAGCATACAGAGGCAACACCACCATCTGCGGGCAGCCATCAGGGAGATGCTTTGCAATGTCTCTGCAAGTTTTAGTCATTGCTTCGATCTCTTCCTGACCCGTCAGAAACACAAGGATGTCCTGAGAAGAAGGTGCTTCCTTGGAGAGGGAAGAAAAAAAATCAGAAATTGGTGTAAGCTGGTTTGGAGGGAGTCGGAGGGTCAAGCAGAAAGGCGGCAACGGATGTCAGCAAGAAACAAGCTTCTGGGCTCTCCTCCCAATAGCAGGAGAGACAGAGAAACCAAAGAGCATTGCTGAGTTTGTGCACACCATGCAAGGGGCTGGACATTTGCTGCAGCACCTGCTTGAGTCACTGCAGGATTGAGTCTTAACCACACACACACACACACACACACACACACACTTCGGTGCAGTTCAGACCAACGTGTAGCAGTTCAACATTATGCAAGGTCTGTCCTTCACTTTTTCCAGTGCTTTATTAAAGGCACTTGAAACATCTCTCCATGCCTCTCCTCACCCACTTAAGGTTTCATGTGGTTACTGGCCCAGCTGTTGAATCAGAAACCTTGAGTGTATTGCTTATTTGGATGGACCGGAGAGTTGCATAACATAACAGAAGAATAAGCATGTGTGGGCAGGCTTGTTAGAAGGGCTAAGGGCTTAGGTGCCTTGCTTAGCCATCTCCTTTTATCTCCACACTAGCATTTAATTGCTGCAAAAATGCTATGATTGCAAGATTAGACACAGGGCATTAATGCTTTATTTAATGGCTTTCCATTATATATTCCCATTAAGAGTTACCACAGAGAGCTCCAAGAAGCACTAAGTCTCTATCTTACAAAGTAGAGAAGACGTACCAGATGTCTCATCCAGGAACAGTGCTGCAGGCATTTCCTTGAAAAACTCAAGGCTACCTATCCACCTGGCACTTAATCGTTCAGCTACTTAGTGGTAGTCATAAAATGTTTATGAGCTTTTATTTGAATAGATTTCCATTTTCTCTGTATTAATCTCAACCACTAAATCAGGGAAGCAATCTTATGCACACTCAGAGTGGCATTACTCCATTCTAGAGCGCTTCATGGACTCCACAGTACTGTAAGTAATGCATGCAAATACATTACTCCCCTGGGTGCGAGGTCTTCCAGTCATGTTCTCACCTAAGCACTATCTACCTGACACTATCACCTTCTCAGCATACTCTATGAGACAGGAAGCTTCTGAAAGAAGGCAGGACTAATTAAACTTTCACTTTCACAGGAAAACCACTCTGTGAACTGAAGGAATCAGAACAGGAGAAATTTCCAGTGGCAACAGAAATGCAAAGTCCCACACACAGACCTGATGGATCTGGAAGACTGATACCAGTGCTGCCTGGAGGTAATCACTCTGAGGCTGTTTGGTGTAAAAGATCTGGATAGGATGTTGCCGGCCTTCTAGGTAGAGGACTGGAGCTCCGTTGAAGTATTGAGAGAACTGGTCTACATCCATGGTAGCCGACATGACGACCACCTATTAAATGGGAAGAAGGCACAGCTAGCATCACAAAGCCAGCCCAAGATGCCAGCCTGCCTAGCAAATTCCAGTCACTTTAGGTTGCTATGATCAATGCCCAAAGGAGCCAAAGGCAAGAATAGCATTCGTAACAGAAAAGAAGTAGTTTCAATTTTCAAGCCTAAAACCATCAACTCCCACTTCAGGAAGTTATAGCCATGATCCCAGGGACCACACAGTGAGTGGAGAAAGGTGCTGAAAGGTTTTCTGTCACAAATATGGCTAAACTCCTTGCATAGACCTTTACCTCAGACCTAAAAGCTGTTTTTTGGGAAAGGAGATGTATCCAGCATAGTAAAATTAAACAAGCCATGGACCTCACTCCTAGATACCCAAGAGAAACCTCCCTCCCACTTCCCCTCCTCAGTCTAATTGCATTCAGATGCCCACTGCCACCCGCTCCCCCCACCCACCACCACCCAGCGCTCACTTTGAGTGGCAATTTGCCCAGCTCCTTCCGCTTCTTTTGTGCTGCTTTGACCACTCCAAAGAGTACATCAGTGTGTATTGTCCTCTCATGAGCTTCGTCCAGAATGACAATGCTGTATTTGCGCAGCAAGGGGTCCCCAATGGCTTCTCGGAGAAGCATCCCATCCGTTAGGAACTTGATTCTAGTTTCTTCAGATGTAAGATCTTCAAAGCGTACCGTATAGCCAACCTAAGGAAACAATTGTGCAGAGGGGAACCACAGACACCAAGTTTACATACACTAATGCTGTCCCTCACGACCCCAAAAGCCACCACACTTCAGCTACATTCGACTGGAACTGCAAGTGACATTTCAGAAGGAACCCAAACCTATTTGCATCTATAAGCCTTAAAACCTAAGTGCCTGAGCTGCTATCCAAGAACCATCAACATCTTTAGCATGATCTTTTTTTTTTTTTTTTTTTTTTTTTT